TATCAGAATTAGCCAGCAAGAAGGAACTGAGAGGGTGGCGAAGAACAACAGTTAGAGAAGATTAGTAACCTTTTTTTAACCTAACAGCTGTAATTGGGGTCCAGTCTTGTTCAAGTTTCAGTGTTTGGATGGTCTATTGTTAACCCACTTGATCGTATTTTAATTATGATTCATAATAAGCCAAATTAGGGAAAGCTAACCCACCCCACTTGGTAGGCTTATCCAGAAAGTTAGAACTCACCCTTTTTCTTTTATGTTCTCACCCTTTTTCTTTTATGTTTCTATAAAATTTTAATAGTGCATGCTACCATGTTTTAATGTCATGTCAGGAATACCAACAGGGATGCAGAGAAACAAAAAATAGTAACTCAGTATTATATCCTTGTCTTGATAGTAGTGTAGACTGACAATCACATCTCTTGGTTTGGAGCCTGCTGGAAGCCTGGGGAAAGGGATCTGTGAGCCCTTTCAATATGAATGTAATTCTTATTGCCCAGTTTTAGTATGTCATGGAAAATATCACCCAATGTGTCCAGAATACCTTTAAATCCTTATGTTATTCCTGTGTTCTCTACTTTCCATGTCCTCTAGCTTTAATTTTATTCTCTTTTCAATTCTGATTCTTTCATCGAGATTAAAAGTGCTGTCCAATTACTCATTTAATCCTGCTTCCACATCTGATGTGGAATATTTTACTATTAATCTCATTTCATTTTTTGATATCTTTAATGAAAGCCTGGAACTCTTCCCTCATCATCTTATTCATCTTTTGATTCCTAACAGCAGGCCCTTCAGGTCACCCTTTGTGACTGGGGCTTTGCTACCCACCTCCATAGTCTGTTTGCTGGAAGTGGAGTTACTCTTTTCCATGGACATGTCTTTGTTCTGGGGGGGGACAGATCTTTGTATTGGAGGATTCCTTTCCCTTCCCAGACATCTAGATCATCCTTCCTCCTTGCCTATTGTGCCTCTCCCCCAAGATGGTTGCTACCACTCTCCCCCTTTCCAAAATGGCCACTGCCACACTTCCTCCCCGAGCTACACTAGTACAATTTTTTTAAAATAAGTTCTGCAGGCTGATGGCACTGGATTCTTTTGCTGGATTTTCTCCCTCAGAAGCGGCTTTCTGGGCCTGGGATCTGGCCAACTCTCTTCACCCTTTTTCTCTTTCCAAAACTAGCTCCACGGATGGTTATTCATATTTAGGGCACAGAACTGTTGATTCAGACTGGCTTTGTTCTTTTTATCTTCTTAAATTGTTTTCTTTTCCTCTCCTCTTTATTGCAGAGCTGGAGTTAGCCACCATCTTGTTTGCTGTTTTAGCCACACTCCCTCCACTAATTTATACAGTGTGTTGTGTGTCATAGTCCCAGGACTAAACTCTGCTATTCAGATAAGCTACAATTCCATGGACAATTCATCTGGTGATAATGGCAGATCTAAGACAGGAGAGAGTTACAAGACACAAACTGCCATACCAAAGAAAGCCATGGTCCATCTACACTGGTATACTGTTTGACAAGAGCTAGTGCTGTCAGAGGAAGGGTTCCTCCTCTTCTAATCAGTTAAAAGTTTCTGTAATAGTGGAATACTACAGCATGGAAAAAAGGACATTTCTTTCTAATCTCAGATGGTGATCAGCCCTGAGGCCTGAAGGTTGTAATTTTTCTAACATTTAGTTGCAGATACCAGTTTTAATCACTTGTGTAATGCTATTTTGATCTGTCTCAATGTTCTTCACTAGAGAGTTCCACATATGGGATTATGTGGGGAAAATCAAGGAAGTGAGGAAGCCTGCAATAAAAGAGAATCATCAGTGATCCTGCTGATTTAAGGAAATTTCAGATTCCCAGCCCTGGCAGCTTTATTTTCCACTGTAAAGTTATTCCTGTGCTATGTCTTTGACCCACAGAAGTCTCTTCACACAATGAAAATTTCTTCTTGGTTTTATTGTTGTTGCCTTTAACTTCACCCTTTATCCATAACAGAAAGGCATTTGGTTAACAGGAGTGCCCCCTGGGCATTCTGTAGTCTATTTTTATTTACTGCCATCATTTCTCTTATCCTCTCCAAGTAAAAAGCAAGTTTTTAAATTTCTCAATTCCTCACCTGCCATCGCTCATGCCAAGGCATGAATTCGTTAGCCTTCTAAAGACCCATTCTATTTCTACTATTTCTCTGACAAAACTCAGCACAGCATTTGAGGGGAGGTCAAACCAATCTGACAAATCTACATGAACATCAGTATTTACCTCAATGAGTGGCTAAGTCAGAAAAAAAATCCATGTTAACTTGCAAAGCTATTCAGAAGGCATGTCGGGCTGCTCATAAGTTATGGTTGGGAGAGGAAAGAATACCAGAAACTGACAATCCCTGATTTGAGAGGATAATAAGTATCTAAAGAAGGATGACAATCACAAAGGACTACATAAAGTTGGAGTCCCAAGTCCAATCAGGCTCCCATCATAGTGCTGGCTCTTTAAAAATGATGCTATTACTATGAATGGTGTATTCCTACAAATTTGGGTGTGCTTGAGAGGGACACAGGTGAACAAATCAATGACAACTGGTTTGAAGATGATTCAATGGGCCAATTTCTCAAGGAGACCTTTGAAATTGTACCTCTTGACACCACCAAGGGAAGAGATTTTCAGAAGTTTACCATTTTACCTATCAAGCACAATCTAGATAAGAATTACTCCCCCCTCTTGATCAGCTCCAAACTGGCTAGTCTTCATAAATGTTATTCTTTACAGACGGTGGCAGAATATCTAGACAACAGCAAAAATCATTCACAAGTATTCAAGTTACTAGTGGAGGAGGGGAAAGAGAGGAGTTTTATCTTCATGATGTACAAAGGTTTGGAAGTTTACGGTTTTATGGTTGGTTGTTTTACTTCAAAATATTTTGGTTTGTTGGAGGTTTTTTTCCCCCTTTTAGAATCGGAAAACTGAAGAAAGTCATAGCTCTCATCTAAAGGGGTTGTGGTACTCAAAACTTCCACAAGGAGCTTTCCTTCCAAAAGTCTGATGGGAATCTGAGTCAAACGGGTACTATAAAACGATGAGTTTTATTGTCTGGCTAAAAATCTCTTCCTCTCTTAACTGCTCAGGTTTCAGTTTCTTGTAGGATAACATGAGACTAGTCATTCAGGCTTGATTCTTCCAGCATAATAGCCAAAACTGGAAAAAAAAGGGGACACTCTTGCAGGCTACCTTCAAAGTCAAGTAAAGTATCCATCAGCCATCCGCAAACTACAGCAGCATTTTGCATTTATAGAAACAAGCATGAGAGGAAAAGGTTTGTTCTGATGAAGCTATTGATCATAATAATTGATACTGTACATCAACAGCAAGGCCAAGCATGAGAGTAAGAGCAGACCAAGGTTGAGGAAAATCAACACTAATTCAGGGCAGAACTGTGTCCTTTGATGTTATCTACAGTCTTCATATTCAGAGATGACAATAGCACAGATTCGCTAAAATGGAGAATTTGAGGATAAAAGGAGCCACACTGAGGTAGTGCAGTCTAATTTCTCTCCACTAACCCAATAATAAAGAACATGAATCTCAACAGGCTCTCCAGAAACTTCTGAGAGCAACTGTCCTTGGAAATAGGATTTAGCTCTAGCACACATTTCTCCTATGACTAAAGAATAGGAAAATATTCTCCAGAAAATAGTCTAGAGACATGAGGAAAGCCATATCAACCAGAATGGGTTGGGAAGCCCTTGATATCCACAAACTGAACCTTAAATGCACCACATAGGTTACTTCACAGAAAAGAATTAATAAAATTCTGCTTATTCTGGGCTTTTCATCTGGGTAAAACCACCCAAAGAATGGCTATGCTAATCTCAAAGCATCCATTTAATTTGCATTAGATTTTGTTTGGTTAAATGAGGTTACTCAAATGCACCATCTTTATTTGCCAAGAGTAGTCACACTGGAGTGGTATGGAATATTTTACTTCTGTGCATTTGCACTTACAGCAAGCATGAATGTGTATGGATTGCTACAGGGCCACATGAGAATCTCATCTCAGTGTGTCACATTTAAAAGGTGTTCTGAAGTGTTTTAAAGATACACAGCTATGTATTTTTTTAAAGTTGTAAATGAAAGCACTCTGAGTTTGGGGCAACTGGAGGGAGGAGCCACAGGGAAGAAGAGGGAGAAGAGTTGGGGAGCCATTACCTTTTTCCCTGGGCTTGAAGAGTTACTGTTAACTTCTGGGACGAGGGAACATTCTACCTCTTCTCTTCCCAGAGGGGAGTCTCAGGAGAAAGCTCATCTCACTCTAGGGTCCCCTGCTTTCCCTCTCCTTTCCTACTTTTCTGGGCTGGTCTCTTCCTATTACCCTTCCCATTATACTGGGGCAGGCCTTTCTGGTAGCAATCACACGCTTATATTATTTTGTCTTGTTTTATAATGAAAATAAGATCACAGAAGAATTTTTTAAAATACTGAACTTAAAATTGCTGAAAATGTATTTTAAGCAGTAACCTCAATTTTTTTTCCCCCAGTTCAGTTTCGGTTCAGGAGGTAGGACAAAATTATGGTTCAGGTTTGGTTCTGGTTCAAGTAAAAATACTGGTTCAAACTGGTTCTCCGGTTCCAGTTTGACTCCTTGAGTAGTTCAGATACCAGGTAAGACCTCTAAGTATTCTTTGATGGTTCTAAAATAAGCATAGAGACAGAGAATGATTCTAAGCATCTAAACAATGAGTTGAGGACAGCAATTCCCTATTTAGCTCTTTCAAATTTTTAAGCAAACACTACAAAACAAATGACAATGCTGTAAAATGCTTCAATCCGCATCTGATCATGAAGTCATACCTGCATTCCAGTATTGTGCCAGGTGTGAATATACACAAAGCAGTTTGGAAACAAAAATACTTAAGGAAATCTTGAAGCATTTTCATAACATGAAGCATGCATTAGACAAAGCACAGAAGATAAGCTGTATATAGTTTATATTTTAACACTTGAGTGTCAACTTACTCATGGGATTCATAGGGCGCAGACCCTGGGGTGACTGCCCTTGCTGCTGATTCTTCACTTGAGCCTGGGATTGCGTCTGCATCTGGTTCCCTTGATAGGTCAGTCCAAGGGCTGCATACGCCCTCTCAATGGAGCTAGGGTCAATCTGACTGGTAGTGTTTATAGAGGGCGTAGTCTGTTGCCCTACCCCTACAGAGCCAGTATTTGCAAGTCCTGCAGCAGCTCCCCCCAGTAATGCTGGAAAAGACAGATTCCATATTAACAAAAATGTCAGAAACTGAGACCAAAGAAAAAGGTAAAAGTGCACAAAATTTCAGTGGTTGGTATGACCAAAATATACCCTTAGAAGAGCAGTTACATGAGCACCCTGGTCAAGAGTCCACAATGAGAAGTTTGAGGAATTTTATCCTACCACAATGTACTACTTTCACTATGAACTGGGAATAGTAAATGTACACTATTATTAAATGTATAGGACATGTCAGTTTGCTTTAAACAGTTTAAAGCTCAAGCAGCACATAATCAGATGTTAAAGGCCCGAGGAGCAGAGTCCTTCAGATTGGTCATGGTGTTGTTTATTTCTCTCTCTCGATATATAGTTTCAGAATAGAGTTAAACAGCCTGGAGGACCAGTTGTGAGAAAAGCACAAAGTAGCAAGGAGAATGGTTTGGGGTTTTTTTCCTGGAGGGAATACTGGGAAACAGAAGCATCGGGATATTTAGACACAAGGGACAGTCAGGCAGCAAGAAAAATTTCGGGCAAGTAATACTAGGAGAAGGATGGGGGAAGCATGCTGGGACATAATGCAGAAGCTGCCAGGGTAAAAAAAAAGTTTATGTACAATATTCTTCACATGGCAGAAAAGTGTCAGCTTAGAATGGGAAGAAGAAGGGCTGGTCAGGTGAGAGGCAGGAATTACTTTCATTCAACCTTGGCTGAAAGTCAAGAGTATGTGGTAAACCCTACAAATCTTTTGCTCTAACTACACATGTAGTGTGCTGTTATCAGGGCATTTATAAACCAAGAATTTTAAGAATTCCAAAATTGGACTTTGAATTCAAGTAGTATATAACCTGGCATAAATAACTAATATCATTTAATACTTTCATATTGATCTGAGCAGGCAAAAGTTCTTAGAACACACCACTTTTTAATCTTTAGTGTGCAAACTCCAGTTTCACACTTTTGACAAGGATGAAAGTGGACATACCCAACATTTCTTCTCTCAGAACTACCAGCCCTTAGGCCCAGCATCATGCTGGCCTCCTCTCTCCAGCTAAAAAGAGCTAAATTAAGTGATCTAAGGGGTCTTTCAACATTATATTGGGTACTGACTAGAGAAAGGGGGGATATCCTTCCAAAGCAACATGAAAACCCTTATCCTCACGTTAGTTCCTGGATGACATGGCAGCTCTGCTCTGATCCATATTCTTAGGGGCTTACAATAACACAGATCTAACACTAAACATGACATTTTATGCAAAAGACCACATGAGGCTTACATTGTTGGTTTCTTTTGTCCCCAGCATTTTTGAGAGGCAAACACACAGGACAGTCATGTCTTGTACAATTCTTCCAGTGCGAGATGATTTGTCGTGAAGATGCACAGTGTGCCACTAGGGAAGGGAAGAGAAACAAAAACATTTTAAAAAGAATTCTAAATGTTCAGTTCTCCACATTCTTCTCTCTCTCATTCACGCACACATGCATGCACACACGAGAACCATCAAGTCACGGCTCTATGAAGTATAATAGCACAAAATATCTTAATCAGAGATGACAGATTTATTAAGACATCTGGTCTAATCTCTTATCACCAGGGCAGGATTTAGAGTATTTTCGTAGCAGAAGATAATAATCAAGAGGTCTTACAGTTCAGTTTTGTTGTTAAACGAAAGTTAAGGTCTTTTCCATTAGGTTTATATGCGCCACCCTGCTCTTCTTACTCATTTTTGCTTTTAAATTTGAATTTAGTGCAGGTGAGAATTTCCAGAATAGCAAACGGAAATCTAAGCAAACTTATACACACATGCATCCATCCATACCAAGTGCTCTTAGCCAAACAGACCCATGCTTCACCTGAAGGAACCAGTTTTTGGGGCAGAGGGGATTTTTCATGTTTGCTTGCTGTCCTTGTCAGCATCCCCAAATGAGGTACAGGTGTCAGAAGAGTGTGCACTTGCCCACTAGCCACTAGAAACTGTTTGATGCTATCTTTTTTCCATCAACTAATTGTACAAAAGCCAATAAATAGCCAGAAATATGCAACAACTGTCACTATTTCAACTTTCTCCCAGGTTAATACAGACCAGAGACAAGAGGCTTCAGTGCCATTAAACCAATCCCAAATCATCAATTTTCCTAGGTGTTAAATTATACTTTCAGTGAGAAAAAAATTCAAGAGTGTTTGCCTAAGACTTACTGCAGAACTTAAGATGAACTGTGTAGAACTGTAAATAAGTTAAAACAAGACTACAAAGTATCCACAAAACATGGGGTCCATTTGGACTCATTATTAACTACAACATGAAAGACAACTGCTCCACTGCCAAAAGGGGCATATAAAAAAGTGTATTCCTTGATGGCTCATGTTTATATAGTCCGCTTTCTTCCTGAGACATCCCAAAGTGTTTTACAGATTGCATACACAGGGATCACTCTGCCACCACTGAAATACAAATGTCTCTAAGTTGACTAAGGCAGTTCACCAGCAAATAGAAATCCTACAAACAGTCACAAGAGACAAGTAAAGAACACCGAATCTAGCTAAAACTGCAGGAAGAATTTTAGGTCAGACAATAGTTATCCATACTGGAAGCTGGGCAGAACACAGAGACCAATAACTTTACTCTCTAGGAAACTAGCATTGGAGGTCTTTTAATAAAAGAAGTGGTCAGAAGCTCAATTTTTATTAGTCATTCTAAATACGGTCACTTCCAGCACCAGTCTCCAAACACGCATATGAGGCATTAGATGCTTAATGACTTTATATATAGCACTCTCCCCTCTGAACCCCCAACACCAGCTACTGCAGCATTGGGATTTCCCTTGGCAGTTTCCAAACCAAGTACTGTCAAAGTTGACCCTCTACCATGTGAGATCTGACAATATCCTGGCCAGAGGTCAAATGGCCGCAGGCCATTGTTAACAGATACTGCAGTTACAGTAAAACCTGCCTTAGAGACCATCTCTAACGAGAGACCACTTGTCACAAGTGGCTTCTTGCCGAGGCCATGGAACACCACTGCTCTCTGGTGTGCAAACCTTTGAAAAGAGACCTCTTACAAGCAACTACTTTTGCTAACTCTCACAAGTAATCACTCTTGGTAGGTTTTACTGTATTTCAGAATGGGGGTAAAACTTGAGTGGCTATGCCTCTGCATCACAAAAGGTGCTTAACCCTTTCTTTTCTTAGCATGCAGATTCCGTGATCATGGAGGCATCCTGTTGTCAAAACCCTTTTATAAGCTAAATTCCCCAGTATCTAGAAGTGAGAAAAATTCTGCATCGTCTCCTTCATGGAGTCCTGTCCAATCCTATATTTATTCTTGTAAGTACACTCAAATGCTCACTCTCTACTTACCCTGGCAGGATTTGCCAGCCTGACAGTGTGTCATGTGGTTGAGGACATTCTTCATGGTACGGCAATGAGGAAGGTTGCATTGTCGCACCTCACCATTTGCCTGTTCCCGCCGCTGGCACTTGTGAGCATGTAAGAGGAGAACGAGCTGTTGCTGAATGAGTTTGCGTTTTTCTGGGTCTGCTGTGGGTGCACCTGACCCCATTCCCTGGGGAGCAGCTGGCACCATCCCAGCTTGCTGAACTTGAGGAGCCTGCTGCTGGCCCTTGAGGGAAGTGATGGAGACAAACACAAATTAAAATCGAGTCCCTTTTAAAAAAGGGTCAATTTTCTGATTAGCTAGGATTATACACAAAATCACATCTGCTAAAACAGATCATGAATACAATTTTGCATTGAGAACTATACCTTCCACTTACCTTTAACCACGGATTACCAGAATTAAATATTTATTAACACTGTGGCAAGCTGGTATTGAAACTTGTTGCTGACAACAGTACTTTCAGCCTCTTTCCTCCTCCCTCACCCCCCTTTCCTTTTTTTCCTACCTTCTCTATATGAATTAAGACCACTTCAATTCACACTCGCTTTCAGATTGACTTGTGAGGCCACACTATTTAAAGTCTCATTAAATATGACTTCATTTTTAAAACATCAAAGAGCTGTGGGTGCAGCTGTTTAAATGCAAGATAAATCTGACAGAACTCCTGTAGCACTTGTACCACTATTTAAAGAGGTACTAACCAAAAAAGTCCTCCACCTTTGAAAGCAACAGTCGAATTGGAGAGGAGATGGTTGGGAAGTTGCCTGGTCACAAAGATTTCATGCAGGCATACAGAACACAAAGCTTTTATCTGTTCTCTACCAGAGATGCCACACAACTTCCAGGTAATGCACAGTATAATTAGCCTAGATTGTGTTGTTCCAGTTAGTATTACCTTCAAATGGCCTGTGATGACTTCTTTGAGGGGCTCGGGGCCGCTCTTTGTGCCTTTTCAATGTGAAAACTTGAGGCTTCTGATGGACTGTCCACTTCTAATTAATTTGATGTAATTTCTGACGAGGACTGAATATTTTCTGGGATCTTCTGAGATTCACTGTCTGATTTTGTCCCCATGCTTTTAGTTGCTTTGAATAGCATTATCAACATCCTCCTTCCGCAAAAGGAGGAGAGCCAGGTTAAGGGCACCATTAAGTCTTAATGCTCAAGTGCTGCCATTTACTGGCTTGTTTGTAACCTTTCCTTTTTAGGTAGGAGAATTGGGAAAGTGGTGTTTGTTTGGTTCTAGGTGCACCTGGATGCATAAGTCATCTTAAGCAGGTTTAAGTCTGAACTGAAGCTTTCTGAAGAGGAGATTGTTCCTGACCCTGACTAGCACAACTTCCTGATGTTTTGACATTTGGGTTACATGGCTATAGTGGTCATGCTGGACCTTTCCAAGGATTCTGTGAGTACAAGAGGTTGCTTCAGAAACTATGTCTACGGTGCTGTGAATGGAACTACCCTCTGGATGTATGAGTAAAGGATTGGAATTACTTAGTGATGAACAACCGTTCTTCAGAATAGCCTGATACCCTGTTTCCCCGAAAATAAGACAGTGTCTTATATTAATTTTTGCTCCCAAAAAGATGCGAAAATTCATCTGATTTTTTTCTGCTGGAAAAAAAAAACACAAACATACATTTTCTGTCCAAAGA